AAGAAGAAGAAGAAGTGATCTAAATGTTCATCTTGAAGCCCTAGCGATGAAAGCCTCTTCTCCCCTTAGCTCATTTGCGGTGTCCCTGGATGCTTCTGATCTAAATGCAGGATGACCCGTTGGAGCCACCAGTGGTTTCTCAATAAATGGGTATTTGTAAAAGATCCGTTGTACAGACTTGTTCTGCTGAAGTGATGGTGTTGAGGAGAGAGGTCTGACAAGATCACTCTGGATGCGGGGCGTTGCTGGCTCAAATTCCATTGCCACAGGGACCGTCTGTTCCTCATCGTCGCGTTCAGTTAAGGACATGGAATCTTCTGGATCCTTCTGGGCATTTCCCTGTTTTGCTCGCCTTATAACAAAGACCATAGCAACTGTGAGTACTATTGCCAGTAAGATACCAATGACTATACCGGCAATGGCACTGCCTGATACCTTCTGGCTCTCCAGGTTCTTAGATACGGAAGATGTTGAACTTGGTTGCGAGCCTGGACTAGTACCTTCTGCTGGCCATGACTGGCCTGGAAGGAGCTGGTATTCTGCACTTATTGCTGCAGATTTCTGTGTATCAATAGATTGGCCTTCAGCAGGATTAATTACCCCAACCATTCCGTTCGGATGGCATGAATCAAGAGCTGAACAATAGAACCATATAGGGAAGTTGTCTCCAATGGTTATATTGAAAGATGGAGCCTATCATGCTATTAGTAATCCTTAGCAAGCAGGAATGGAATGGTAGGGAAGAATACATCTCCACTTGAAGCTGTTTGTGTAAGGAAATTTTGGGAGTGAAACCCTGTTTGACCCGGGTGGATTAATTCGTATGGTACGCAGGGGTTGCATTGACTGCTCCCGCAGGCCTCAGATCCCGTATACTCGCCACGGACAACTGAGTGGTTAGTTGGGAAGAACTTAAAGACGACTAGATCCCCAACATCCGCAATTGTTATTATTGGATCAAAAACATAGCTTCCTGCAAATCCTACTCTTATCGTATGGATCTCGGCTGCATCTGCAAGCGCTACAGTCAGCAGGAGAGGTAATAACCAGCCACAAAAAGGAGCCATGGTGTAGGTATGAAAGAACAAGTAGCTTAAGATGTAGTAACTATTGCTGATGCTAATGAAGGCAAAATGGAGAGGAAAGTAACGCCTTTTGTCTTACATAGAACGCTGTAAAGCTTTACAAGGGTCTGGTGGGTCCCAGTTTTGGGAATCCTGTCGGCGGGGCAGCACGGAGTACCTTGCATGTCCATGGAGGCGGTGCCGCTCCTGGAGAAAGACTATAGCTCACTGAGTGCAAAGCAATATTTTCTTAAAATAATTATTTAGAGTCTATACTAAAGCTACTTGCATTCCTGTGACCAGCAGTCCTAATTAGCTCATGTAGCAAGAACCAGGTCTCTATGTCCTTAATTAGTGCGACGCCTGATGCTTCTAGGGTGAGCAATTGTAACTTCATCGTCCAAGCACCAAGTTCCTGCTGACATCTGCATCGGAACCGCACACCCGAGCGCGCATTCGACGGTGTTCGCCTTCCGATGTAAATTGTGTATTTCTTCGAGACTCAACGGCTGAACAGATAGCACTAGACACATGGAAGTTGAATATCATCTGCTGTCTAGCAAGAGCCACGGCTTTTTTTCTGCTTTCACCATTTCTTGAGCTTTGAAACAAAACATGGCAGCAGTAAGCCATGATCATCGCAAGGCCATTGGTTCGTGCATTGGTAGATCTAACTTCAAATCCGCATCTCCCCTGCAAGATTGCTGAGCCACACTGGGTGAAATCCAAAGGATGCGTAGAAAATAGAAAAACAATCCATTATCCGATAAAAGTCTCGCATTAAGCGCTCTCGACTTGTGTCTCCCAGGCTTAGGTCTCGGCAAATTTGGCCCGCGCTCTAGTTCTACTCCACAATCCAACTCAACTACAACCCCGCCTCACAAAATGGGTGCAGAAATTAGCCAGGTTGTCTCAAGTCAGACCTTGATGGCTCGACTTTGGAGGAATTGCTATCCAACGGAAAAGTGTCTGTTATAGATTTTGAGGATATGAATAGTATCTAACATGTAAACAATTTGTTCAGATAATCCGGGGAAGCTGTACCAGCACTTGAGGAGAAGGTGCGCGAAACTCTGCGCAAAATTTTGACCAAAAAGTCCACGAAAGGGCGCCAGAAAAAGAACAGACAACCAAATTCTACAGCAGAAAAGAGCACTTCATTGAAAGACGCTGTCATAGTAACATCAGTGCAAGATGATGATCCGCAAGAGGCCGCCGCCGCAGGTACCAGCGACGCTGCGTCGGGCGCCACCAAAGCATTATCAGCACGATTTTTAATAGATGACTACCAATCTGCATGGTTGATGACCCTCCTTGCTTCAGTGATGGATGCTTCCGAAAATGTGTCGAGTTAAATACTGTCAGAGGACAGAATGAACCTCGGAATCCCCGTTCTCCGTAGAGACCTTGATCAGAGCACAGGGGTTGAATGCTTCTTTTGGTAGCCCTGATCATCGAAAAAGGAAGGCTTCTGATAACTTAGTTTTGACCTTTCAAGAACAAAACTAAGGTGCACTTAAGGGCTGGCAAATATGTCCTTTAATTTCTATCTCCACACACTGAAGAACGTTCATGAGCAGCGAGATACAGCGATGACTTACACAAAGGCGCTTTGTTACTTGGGTAATACCTCGTTGAAAAGAGATGCCTCTGTGCTTTTCCTTTATTTCAACTTGTCTTCGCTATGAGCCCCTCTCAGTCGTGTCCCTTTTTTCCTTCAGTAGGGTCTTCTCACTTCTCCGGTGCACGCCTCCTTGCGTATTTGCTTTTCCCTGTCGCTCTCTTTTATAATAAAGCTAGGTTACCTTAACACTATAAATAGGGTGAGAGAAGAAGTTAATACAGAGAGACAACTCTATGCAGGAACAAAACTTCAGGAAATAGAACCATAAAGAGGAATATAAATTGAAATGTATGTAGCCTGCATATCCTAACTAGGATGGGTCAGAGTAAATGACAAAACAGATCAAATCAAATCAAATCAATGAAGGGAAGTACAGGCAATATGAGTTGAATGCTTAAGGTTTTTACTCATCATTATACATCCTGCTTTCTCATATTCTCCAAATGGGCAGGTAGGATCGTTACACCGGCGTGCGCTTTCGGGAAGTAATGCAAGGACTTCGTCACAAACAAAACTTATGCAATATCCTGTTGAAGTGGGATCTTTGAGCATCTTTTCGGTACGCTGGATGGCTAATTTCGTTAATTGTTCTAGAACCAATGCTTTGGTTTGCGCAGGAAGGCTTTCCAGAATATTGGAGATATGTCCGGGTGTATTCAGTCCCAATAATGCTTCGGCTATCTCTCCTGGTGTCATATGTTTCTGGACGCGGCCAAAGTCCTTGTCGCGGTAATAAGATGCTCTTAAAAGGTACCCTCGTTGAACAACATCTAATGCTTCAATAACCAGTCCAGCATTCTCCTCTCGGAAAGAGTGTACCAATTCAAGATAATCCTCATCCAGAGCCATATAAAGCTGGCGTTCAACTTTGGATGCATATCGTATGGTATGTTCCTTGGCAGATGTGTTTTTTGTTGCCCACCAATATGCTAGCTGTGCAGCCCAAAGTGTCTGCTTATCAAGACGGATCTCCATAATGTGAGTTTGGTGCTAAAGGTAGTAAGAAAATTAGTGAGATTTGCTCAGCTGGCGAAAAGCGTATTTATCTTAATATGGAGTCCAAAATCGGGACCAGCCGATCCTGGCATAGAGACTGAAGACCCACATTTGAACCCCCCCCCC